GTTCGCTCGTTTCACAGATGGCTCCTGCTCTGGGTTTTATTAACAACAAGACAATCTTCTAGCTGGATCGTGCGCTGAACTTAACAATGGAATGACTGACGACGCTAGGAAGATGTTTGTCGACTGTTATAGAACTACGATTGCGATGTTGAAGCAAATGCAATGGAATGGTCCAAGACTTGCACATTTGGACTCAACACTGCTGCGATGTTAAAGCGATGGGGGAATAACATGCAAATGATGTCGTCCAACACTGATAACAAGACAGAGGCTGCAGCAGAGATTGAAATATCGTGACCAACTGCATTTTTCTGAGAAAACGATATCATTCTCATTTCAGGCCGTCGCAGCCTGATTCGGTGATTTACAAAAATATGGTGTACCTGAGAACAACGTCTTCACGATGAACATTTACACGACTTTAAATAAATACAGTCAGGTTGGTACAACTCTTCCAACAGCAAGATAAATTGTCAGTGTTGTTGCTCCAGTTAGCGTGGCAGTCGAGCGACAGAATTGGTTGTGTAGTTGTACCTTGTTGGGGCTCATGGACGGTTGTGGTGTGTGAATACAATCCTGGGTAAGAACATTCAGAATATTACACATTAGTGACCTTATCTCGGTACAGCTTCTCCTAACTTTTTTTTCAGGGGAGAGCTGCCTGGCGAGGCAATCTATGACGTAGGAGATCCCTGTACGAAGGACGCCGACTGCCAGTGCCCCGGCTGTACCTGCAGCAGAGATGAGGCACTCTGTATTGCCCCATAAAAGCAAAGGCAACAAATTTTCAATGAAAGAGCGAAATCACATTCACACGAAGGTGCTAGAAAGAACATTTGGAAGAATTAAGATATGGATTCCTGACCTTAGCTCCGCTCACCTCGATATTTATTCCGCCTAATATGAAAATTTGAGCACTCTCACTCCCTTTACCTTTGTAGACTTTGACCTCTATTCGTTGGATTGTAGAATGTTCTTGGAGAACCGCTAGTGGAATCCACTCATGAATTCTATAACCGTCGGCCCCTTGAAGACCGATGAACGTCAAAATTGGCGACTTATTGGTTATGCGAAGGGGGTGCAAGGGCTACTACGCTTCCCGCGACCACTGCAATGAACATCAATCAAAAAGTGCCTTTAGCGCGAAGGGATCGAAGTTCGCCGGTGATGATTTCAAAAGTTCTTTTGATCAATTCAATTTATTTCGGCGGCCTTCACCCCTAATGTCGCTTCTGTGTTTGAGCGGAAATCTTCCTGGAATCGAGCAACGCCCCGATGCTCTCCCTTGAGTTTTTCGAAAAGGCCTTACCCAAAGAGTACGATGTTAATAACCTCAGGAGATTGTAATTCAAGGAGTATCCTAAGGGCCGTACCTGCCCTGGACTTCCATAGACTCAACGAGTATGAACACAATACGGAGTGAACACAATCGAAACTGCCACGTCTTTTCCTCCTTGGAAATGTCCTCATTCCTGTACTTCCTAAGCATTCATATCAGTTCTTGAATTACAAAGGCTCGACAGTTCTCGGAGCAGGCGGCGACTTTCGTTGGTTACCTTTCGCTACCCGAACTACTGAGCTGGGATACCCAAACTACTGAGACGTATCTATAAATAGTACAAATGATAGCAATAGGAAAACAGAAGCAGGAGTATAATTATCCCTAAGTATAAATATTGAAGTATCATATCAATTTGATCAGGTCCTTAAAAACCTTGAAGAAAAACGGCTGTACTTTCTCATGCGGTTAAGTGATTCTGGGAATTCACTGCCTGTTAGGTGGATCCTATTTCGTCATTTATGTAAAGTGTGAAAGATAATTATATCATTCATGGTTTGCTTCATAGAGACCATGTGGATGAACACGAAGTTTTTAGAACTCATGAACTAGTCCAACTTTAGGCACTATCGACTATCATCTTTCTCACAGCAATCTTGGCACCAATGCTTGTTAACCATAAGACGCTGGCGAGCTTTGGTCAAAGTAGCTATGATGATTGTTATATCTACTAAGGCATACTGCGAACTTCAATGAAA